AACCTATGATTGGTCCAAGTGACCACTCTCGAAATCTCATTGGCGCATGGCCAAACTGTGAAAACATATGATTGGTCCAAATGGCCGCTCTCGAAATCTCATTGGCGCAGAGCCAAACCATGAAAACCTATGATTGGTCCAAGTGCCCATCCTCGAAATCTCATTGGCACAGAGCCATACTGTGAAAACCTATGATTGGTCCGAATAGCGACTCTCGAAATCTGATTGGCGCATAGCCAAACCGTGAAAACCTATGATTGGCTGAAAATCTGTTACCCGAAATCTGATTGGCTGGAATGCAGCTAGTAGATCTGTCGGGGGATGTTCATCAAAGGTTTTATATTAATCTATCGGTTGAGTTGAAGATGTGGTGTAAGACCGATGATGTGATGGGTCAAAATAACGTTTTTTCGTTCTGTGCGAACGAACGAACGAAGTTACGAACATACGAACCTTGCTCGGTGTATGACCCTCCTTTCAGTAGAGGGAATAGAGGTACGCATAGGGCCTCAAGTCCTATTATATGAGGGTGCCCCTAGTCCTCAAGTCCTATATTATGGGGGGTACCCTTTCGTCCTGAAGTCCTATTATATGAGGATACCCTTGGGTCCTCATCACCTATCATATAAGGGTACCCTTGGGTCCTCATGTCCTATTATATGAGGGTACTCTTAGGTGCTCATCTCCTATTATATCGGGGTACCCTTGGGTCCTCAAGTCCTGTTGTATAGAGGTATTAGTGCAGGGGGCTGCTGGTTCCTCGCGCCAAACATCAATATTTTGAAAAATTGACAACGGATTCGGATTCCTCGACCCCGCAAATCTTTGATCAAACTTTATAAGATATCGTTATTTTCGAAAAAGAACTCGGTTTTAACGAAAAAAAATCAAATTCGAAAATTTGGACAAACCAATTATAAATCCTTGATTTTTTCATCAGGAATACGTTATTTTACGCAAATAGTGATTTTTTGTAAAGTTCGATCAAAGGTCTTCGGGGTCGAGAAATCCGAATCCATTGTCGATTTTTCAAAATACTGATGTTTGGCGTGAGGGACCAGCAGCCCTCCATACACCAATAGGGATACCAGCAAATACCAATACCAATTGGTATTGACTGGTATTCGTATGGTTACATCTATATCTCTATACCATAGGACTTGAGGACCTAAGAGTACCCTTCTAATATAGGACTTGAGGACTCAAGGGTACCTCCTAATAAGGACTTGAGGAATGAATGCGGGTGGTTGCGAATGGACGATTAGGTTTTTTCCCCCTTGGAATACTTCAAAATACTTTGGCATAATTTTAAGTACTTTGGCGTAATTTTAGCTACTTTGGCGTAATTTAAAAGTACTTAAACGTAATTTAAAAGTACTTTGGGCTACTTTAATCTACTTTAAGCTACTTTAAGCTACTTTAAGCTACTTTAAGCTACTTTAAGCTACTTTAAGCTACTTTGAGCTACTTTAAGCTACTTCGAGCTACTTTGAAGTACTTTTTGTACTTTATTGTACTTTTCTACTTCAAGTCTGCTGTTTCCCCCTTGATCTGATGTAATAATTTATTTTGTTACTTTCGATAAACGTGAACTTCCTTGTAAACGACGTTCAACAAAATAATCTCTTAATGATGTTCATTGTATATGACATGTTGTTGAAAATATTGCATCAACAAATACAGCTTCTGGTATAGTTGGACGGTTTAGAAATTAAATTTTAGAATTTTTTGCTCAATCGATATAGAAAATTAAACACCAAAGATACTTCATTAAGGAATATTATGGATTTCGTAAAATTATTTTAAAGTTTTGTTCTTGTTTTGTGTGAGTATAAGACATCGAAAATTTTCAAGACTAGATAAGTTGAGATAGTTTTTATATGTGAACCAAAGTTTAAACGCTGAATTTCATTTTAAAATTCGAGTTCCGAACGAAGATTTTAATTATTAAAATGAGTTTAGATTTTCTTCTACATTATTTTCTGATGTTCAAGAAAATTTTTCAAGTAGACAAGAATTTCTCAAAACGCGTTTATACGCCCTAATTGCAGTTGCTATTTAAGTGTTTTCATGTCCAAGAAACATGCAAACCTATTTTTTTCAGAAATACTTTGACGGATTTTGCAGACAAAAATGACTTGTTTTTATGGATGGTGCATGTCAAATATATTGTAAAAAAATCTTTTGAACGTTTTCCAGGTGCAAAAGTTGCCTTGTTAACCGCCTTTTAAATTGAAAGGAGAGGTGCAGTTAGGGTGTTTATTCGTGTTTTCGAAAATTCTTGTCTGCCTGGATGATTATCACTCGACGAAATGGTTTATCTTGTATCTTTTTGTTGCTAATTAATAAATCTCAAAAAAGAATCAAATTTTTCTAAAATAACATGTTACCAAATGGACTCTGAACCCGTATTGATTCAATAGTTTCACATGATTCTGATCCGCAATATTTTTTTTTGCACAAACACGAAAATGATATTTAGTGTAATGTATTGACATTAACTATTATTTTCTCCAAATGTCACGTGTTGAGGTAAATACGTAAATGCTAAGTTTATTATGAAAACAAAAAGAATATATGTATCTATCGCAATAGACAACGATATTGCGTAGTAGATCACATTATTACTTAATAGACAATATATTAATACGTAATAGAGAACAAGATCAAGGTTAAAATGTAATGTTTGTTTGGCCTTGATCAACAATACAAGATATAGTTGAGATCACGAGAAGATCGAAGAAAAAAAATGAAAGAACGAAAAGAAAAACAACACACACACGTATATGTATACGTTTGGCGTATTGCCAAGATAGAACGAAAAGAAATAGGAAAATCAACAGAAACGAAAAGAAAGGAAACAGAAAAGAAAACAATAGTTAATGTCAATACATTACATTCCTCCACTTTAAATTTCTTCGATCAAACGTTTCATCGAATTCTTTAAACGTTATGAACGTCGCAGAACTTGTAAGTCTTGTTCAGATGTAGAATATGATGTTGAGGAGCATTTGTTGTGATCAGTTGTTGTAATTGTTGGATCTGTAGTAATAACATCATCATCTGTTGACCATTCACGATGTTTAATTTGATTTTCATGACGACGCCTAGTATGATGTCCAACTTTGACAATCCATATTCGGAATCCTTGACGATCAATAAGTAAACCAGGCGTCCATTTGATCTTGTTTGGATCGTATCTAAAATCTTGAACAAGTACTTTGTTATTTTTCTGAAAATAACGTTCTTTTGTATGTTCATCAAAATTTCTTTGATAACGGCGTCGAGCTGTATCTGATGGATGAAATGTGTTAGGTCGTAATAAGTCCAATACAGTTCTTAATTGACGTTTAAGAAATAATTCAGCTGGAGTTGAATTTGTTGTTGCATGAGGAGTTGTACTATAGCAAAACAGAAATTTTAACAGAACATCAGATATTTTTTTCTCCGTTATAAAGTCCTTTTGTTAAAGCAGATTTAACAGTATCTACATATCGTTCTGCTTGACCATTAGATTGTGGATGTCCTGGTGAAGTTGTGCTATGTTTAATACTATTACGAACACAAAATTCAGTAAATTCTGTTGAAGTAAATTGAGTACCATTATTGGATACAATAGTTCCACATAAGCCATAACGAGCAAATAGGGATGATAATGCATCAATTGTTGCTTTGGTTGATGGATTATGCATTGTAATAACTTCTATCCATTTAGAAAATGCATCAACAATAATAAGAAAATACAAACCCATGAATTTTCCCACGAAATCGATGTGAATGCTTTTCCATGGTTGATCAGGTATTGGCCATGGTGATAATGGAGCTTTAGTTGGTTGTTTAGAATTTTCCGTACAGTTAGAGCATTTCCGAACAAGATCTTCAATTTCTTTGTCGATTGATGGCCACCAGAAATAACGTCGAGCATCACTTATCATTCAAGTCATTCCAGGGGTGTGGGCGTGGGTGTGGGTGTGAAGAGAATACAAACCATCCACACCCACACCACATACCCACACCCACACCCCACACCCACACCCCACACTCACACCCCACACCCACACCCCACACCCACACCCCACACCCCCACACCCACACCCACACCCACAACCTCTATTAGTTTAATGAGGCGAGAGAGCATATGTGAGTTCTACATTTCAGCCCCAAAGGGGCTGCGCTAACAAGCTTTTTTACTTACAATCCGATGTTAATAGAAAATTGATTTAAATCTTAATGAACGAAAATCTGGTTAATGGATTTCAATTCGATTATAACAGATTATGTTCTTTGTAGTTTGATTTTAATCACGAAATCGACTGTAATCTTTTTTGATCGATGTAAATCTGAATTCATGAAAACCAAATTTATAGATCTTCAACCAATTATTAACGGGATGTGGATGTGGGTGTGCATGCGGATGTGCATGTGAGCGTGGGATGTAAGTGAGAATTCATACTGCTTTGACACTCACACCCATATCTACACGCACACCCACACCTACACGCACACTCACATCCACACCCACACTGCTAATAATATACATCAAAATAGTGCACATAAATTAATAAACAGAAATTTGGTTCTAACAGATCGTCGTTGAAAGATATAATACACATCAAATTTACGCCCCTGTTCGTTTACAAACATGGAAGCAATATGGATAAGCTTAGAATAATGTTATATATATTAGATTAAGATTCTTTTCACAAAAGAATGGGATATGAAGGTATTTTTGAACAGATACTATTTTGTGACAAGTTCAAACATACGAATAGGAGATTTAATAAAACCATAGACGGTAAAGATAAGAATGTAATCTATGAAACTTATGAAAATTGGTCGCTTAAAGAAATTAAGATATACAATTCAATTCGAAAACGACTTTGTCATCATGATTCAAACGTTGAATAATTAAAAGGTCGAATTTTTTTTTAAAATTTGAATGATCAAATAATGAAGAACTTGTAATGTGAAGCTATTACTTGAGAGCTTGAAAATGAGTTTATCAAACGACACGTGTTTTCGAGTTGATCACTACAGAAAAATGAAAATAGAATTAATTGTATTATTTCTTCTCAAAACTACTCCCATATTTACACAGAAAATTGAGCTACCACTAGGATGTGGGTGTGGGTGTGACTCCTTCTTGCATATATACTCACAGCCACACCCAAATGCTTAGTATTTAGACTCTTGCTACTTGGTATTGAGAGTTTTGACCACTGCTACAGTTCCATTCTGTGCTACAAAGAAAGAAACGATTTCATACCAGAAGCTATGTTTTGTTTAGATGCAAAAATCAATGTTGTCTGCCAAAAATCATGCGCAGCAGTCATACCAAGAGATAACGATCACATAAGAGCAAAGCCATTTAGGAGATCGATAAAGAGGAAAAGACAAAGTTTAAGATAGCTACTCTTCTTACATTAGGCATAGTTCAATTTACAAGAAAGTAATTTTGATAGCAGGACTTTCATTTTATCTTGATTATTTCATGAAATCTTGCCAGAAAAATTTTCGAGACATTTAGCTTTTTCCACTTTAAGCAGAGGTGTCGCCAGCGCGAGTAGCCCTTTGTTCTGGCAAATTTTTGGTCTGCTAGTGTGCCACTTCGGTCGTCAGAACATTCCGATCAGGGGCGTAACTAGAAGGGGGATAAAAATCACGCATTGGACTACGTAATATTTGAATTACATCTACATAAACGCCGTAAATGACACCTTTGTTCGAATATTACGTGACCAAGTGCGCCCCCCCGCGCCCCACCTGTAGTTACGCTCCTGATTCCGATTCATCAATAACCCTCAGCTCTAGTCCGTCGGTGTGTCGGGGTGGGGAATGTGGAATGTGAGTGTGAGTGCAAGTGTGGATATAGAGTGGATATGGCTATGAGTAGGGGTGGCACTTTCCTTTCCTTTCCTAAAAGAAAGGAAAGTTTTTACTTTCCTTTCATAAAAGAAAGGAAAGCGTTTACTTTCCTTTCCTAAAAGAAAGGAAAGTTGAAGGAAAGTTAACTTTCCTTTCCTAAAAGAAAGGAAAGGAAAGTGAAACCTTTAGGTCTTCAAGTCCTATATAATAAGGGTACCCTGGGTCCTCAAGTCCTATATAATGAGGCCACCCTTAGGTCCTCAAGTCCTATATAATGGGGTACCCTTAGATCCTCAAGCCTTATATAATGAGGGTACCCTTAGATCCTCAAATCCTTTTTAATGAGGGTACCGCTAGGTACTCAAGTCCTATATAATGAGGGTATCCTTGGGTCATCAAGTCCTATATAATGAAGGTACCTTTGGGTCCTTAAGTCCTATATAATGAGGGTACCCCTAGATCCTCAAGTCCTATTTAATGGGGGTACCCCTAGGTCCTCAAGTCCTATCATTTATGGGTACACATGGGTCCTGAAGGGCTGTTATACAGTGGTACCCATAGGTCCTAAAGAGCTATTATATAGAAGTATCGAACGGGAATCTCTATAAAACAGCCGTAGAGGATCTATGGGTACTCCTATATGGTACTCTTAGAGGACCTGTAGGTCTTCTCATCATATAGGACCTGAGGACCTAGGGGTACCCCCATTAAATA